CGAAGGATCTGTGGCCTTCTAATAGCCCAGATTTGAATCCTTTGAACTTCGCTGTTTGGGATTATACGGAAAAGGAGTTAAGGAATGAGAACGTGAAAAGTTTGGTGGCTTTGCAAAAGGAAGTTGCAAAATCTGGGACAGTTTGGACCTCGGCTACCTCCGGCGCACCGTCGACTCGGTGAAAAGACGAATCTATCAAAGCAGAAGGCGCGCACTTTGAAAATTTGTTGTGATTATGTAACGTCATTGTTTGTTGTTTTAAGAAAATATTTTTCATTCCATGTTGGTGCACGAATAATAAAGTTCGAGCGTTTTTTATGGCGCACGTAATTTTTCGCCACCCTGTAGTTCTCCTTCGCTCTTGCAATGATGATAATGATATTTTCTTTCGCTGTTCATGCAACGTATAGCAAGAGTACATTGCGATGAACACGACCTTAAGACTTCCGCATCAGAAGCGCCATACATCTATAGCCGAATATTGCTCATTTTCATACAAAAAAGAGCTAGCACAGCAATGTTTCTCTTGATTCATGATCAAAGACTTGCTCACTTGCAATTTGTAACAACAGTCGGCAATAAAGAATCTTCATCCGACGAATTTGTGGTGGAGCCGTTTTCACTTTGTGAGAAAAAATCTGCAATGAATCTTAGGAAAATTTTAGCACAACTGGTAGCAGTGAAAATTCCTACACGACTGACCACTTCCGTGACCGCTGCTGCTTTGTGTAAAACATTTAACTTCTTTCGCTTGGGGCGATAATTCCTCCAAAGAATTTGAACATGAATTATTTTCGCTCTGCGAGAAAAACCCTGCGAAAATCACCAATGGTGCCGTGAATCAGAACTGATGCAAAAAAAAGAATTCAGTAAGATCTTACCACTGACAGCACCATCGCTGTTTTGCGAATATGATAAAACATGTCCTGCACTAATGTAAGACTCGTCATCTGTATCTGCATAGGCTGCTGGGGGTAAAGAGAAAATGGGTGAGCCCTCTAATGGGCTTCCAGTTGACAGCACAGTTAAGCAATCATCAGGCGAGTATGGGAAATGATCCGCAGGATATGATCCAAGAGAACTGTTACTGCTCAACAAGGAGCTATCCACGGAGTCAGCCGCACCACGTTCTGAAATTATTTTAACAACGTACTTTCCTATTGCACAAAACACAAAGTCTCTGCTTACGAGGGAGGGACGGGGTTGATATAATCGGACTTCCAGCCACCAATGGCATGCGTGCAGGATATAGCGGTTCAGTTTTGAGAACTGGGACAGCATTACATTGCCGTAGTTTCTTCGTTTCACTGTGGTAGTACACCTTGGAAGATCTTCCTGACTAAAAATAAGAGTGTATAGCAGGTCAAAGGCACTCTCCTCAAAGCTCTACAAAACTGGATACATGCAAATGAAATTCACCCACGAAGTACGGTAGTACGAAGTATGAAAAGGTAGCTAGGGAGCTTCTAAATCTCGTAGCACCTCAATCCTGGTGAAGAAGTGAGAAAAAATCGTCAATGTCAAATCAACAGTAGTGTCAAATACACAGTACATAGGTACAAGACGCGCCGATGAGTAACAAAAAGCCCCGCACCACATATTCTAGCCTCATTTGTCCAGGGACAACCCAGAGGGCACTACCATGATTAGAAGGAGTCGGGGGCAGCAACTTTGCGAACGCATGACGGATTAGCCATTTATCTCTTACCATTTGCCTCAACATAGCGTTCGCCAATCGCCTAAAGCCAACTGGCCCCCATGGTTCAATCCGAAAGACAGTGCCCTTATTGCTGACATGATTTACCTCATCAAAAGACCGAGATTGGCAAATGGTCACAAAAATCATGTAAATAGATCGCATGAGATTGACGATTAAAGGACATCTAAAGAGCTCCTTGGATAGGGAAGGGGCAGAGTGACATTCTGGCTCTCGACTCTGCTCTCCCGGGTCACAATGTTACCAAGGCTGAGAGGGTCGATCTGAGGAATGTTGTTCAGAATGCTCAATAGAAACCCCTGTATTTGTGTTCGAGCAAGAAACTGCAAATTACCGATTTGTTCATGGGAAGAGCGNACATTCTGGCTCTCGACTCTGCTCTCCCGGGTCACAATGTTACCATTGTGGAATGTTGTTCAGAATGCTCAATAGAAACCCCTGTATTTGTGTTCGAGCAAGAAACTGCAAATTACCGATTTGTTCATGGGAAGAGCGTAGTCCATATTGTGACGATGAGGGTGACACCGCAACCCGACGTGTGTATTACCACGTTCATTAAAGCAATCACAATCTTCACCAGTTATTGGAAAATCGTACATATAGTTGCCTAGAAGGGAATAGGAAAGAACATGATTTCTTCGTATTAGTTTGTCTAGTCAATTACAAAAAAATTGAGTAGCGAAGGGTAAACATATAAAAAACAAACTTTGAGCAATATGATAACCGTCATCATTTCCTAATTTGTGTTGTCTCGCAACCCCATAGGGCACTTCATGCATTTTTGATGATGTGGAAAATCCATAAGGCGAATAGAACGAATCCATAAGTAAAGCCTTAATAGAAGAAATGTCCTGAAACAGAGAAATTATTCTGTAATAGAAATAGGCTCGGAGGCTCGAAGGAAGTTGTGGGGGTGGGGGGGTCTATTCAACACTAGGCGCTAGAGCGCTAGAGCGCAAAGGAGGGGTAACTGTCTTGAGAGGGTCCAAAATGATAATCTTCAAAGTGGAACAATTTGCTAACACGCTTGCACCTTTAAAAAGGAATAAATCAGCGATCAACTAAATATTCGATTCTTACCCCATTCAGCTTTATTCATGATGTAATAAATTTTCAGCTGGCTAAAAAAGTTTCCAGACGACATTACGAGCTCGCGAAGACGGCTACCACCTTCCTTTCTCTACGGTCTAGCGCTAGTGTTAGACCCCCAACTACGTTTTCTCCACGCACCATTCATAATTCAAGAAAAGGGGGCAGTATAATTCACTTTATTTCGTGTAAAGAATCAAGTTCGCAAAAAGATGTATATTCGTGCACAATATGTAGTCAACTTACGGCAACCAAACATTACTAATTCGATATTTTGAAAATGTGTCCACTTTATTCTGTGATTGAATTCAGCTATGCACCTTGCGTTGCTACCGTTGAGACGTGGAACGTACTGAACCTGTCGTTATGCGCAGCAAAAAACAGAATCCTTTATGTTCAGGAACACAATTCCTTCAAAACGATACTGAAATGAATCCCCTTGTAAAACAATGAAGAATCAAAAACATAAGAGACAACGACAAGTAACAGAATAAGTTAGTTTCTGAAAAAATAGTATGACCGCAAGAAGTATCGTTATTGAGGCGGTAGTTGAAGCAAGAAGCAGAAGCTACCGTAATTTAGAGTAGGTAAAGCTAAGCGTAGATGACCACCGTAACATAGCAGACTGCTGCGATTCAGAGATAGCCTGCCCCGTAAAAGGGAAGCTTTCAGTATCTACTGAAAGGTTCGGTAATTTCGCCATGTCCTGCAGCTTACCGTCGGAATTCAAGTATAAGGCCCGCCAGAGACTAGACAGAGCGGTCATTTTCCTAAAATAACAGGGAAAGAGTCGGTATATCGGCGCTATGAGGCTCAATCAGAATAACCGACGTTAGACGACTGGCGATTAGGACTTTACTTCTGCTCCATTCTGCTCCACTCCCTCACAGGAACGTAACTTGCTCAACGCGAACCCCGAAGGCGACCTATGTGGGTTGGGGAACATTCAAAACAGCGACGTACAAGCGACCCGCCACACAAGAACAAAAGTTTGGAACGGGAACTGGGTTCCTACAGTAACCTAACCACCGGATAAAATAGATGAACGCAAAACTTCACAGACGACATTTTTCATTCTACGGCATGTTCCTATTCTAGTACACACAACCTAATTCTTATGCCGCCCTACGCATCAAAAACAGAGCTTGGGTAGGACCACAGTGTTATAAAATGGTAGTCGCCTGGCCGTCTTGCATCCCCTCCTGGCGTTTGTGTCAGGACCCACGACCCGGTTACTGTAAATGATTGGGCCGTTGAAATCTCCAGGCTAGAGGAGGTCTTGACGCGGTAACCGTTTCTTACTTCGTGGTGGGACCATTGCTAACTTTACTCCTTGCGCAATATTCGTTCAGCGAGCAGGTGCAAAGTCGAAGGGATATGAGCAAGAGGTTCGGGGTGGTCAGAGGCTGTGTTGACATGGATTATTGTATTATTAGAGTTCTCTAACTGCGTTTTCGTTTCTGTTCGTGGTATTTCATGGATCGCCGCGATTGCTCCCATCGGCTTTTGAGTTACTAGCAACTTTTCGAGCTACGCCTTAGTAGTTCCGACCGATCAAAACTACAGGCTCAAGTGCTGGTTGTCGGAGTCGAGTTAGGTTTCTCAACGAGCGCACTTATGGGGGTTTGAAACTTCATGGAACCGACGCCGTCAAACTAGTTAGACATATGAGGTAGGCGCTAAGCTTTCACACTCCTAGTCTTTCGGGACAGGTACGGTCATCCCATACAGGAAGATGGAAAACATAAGAGACCAAAGAAAAACCTCAAATGTATATGGCGCTAAGATCGAACGTAACCTATGAGGGTGTAATGTTTGAAGAATGGCATAATAATTGGCGATTATTCTAGGACACACTTCGGTATTCCAGCCAGGGTACAACCTGGGCCACGTGATTGGTCATTTCGTAGGGGGTATGCAAATCGAGGGGAGACAGGCGTTAGGAACGATTTTGGGTAATCGATTNGCCGCACGCGGCTGTCGCGGACCACTCATTCGCCGTTATTACAGCTCTAGCGTTCTTCATAGAGCTCAATCGATATGCGATCATTATTTTATGCATAATTCTACTATTAGTACTTTTGTTCTTGTATTTCCTACCTACTGCTGCATCCTGCTACATTCTTTCGCGCGCGACGCCCCTCTCACCGCGACGCGACCATTTCGTTCCTAACGCACCACACCCATATATTCTCGAAATATCTTCCCCTTCTTCTGCCACTAGCAAGATCTTTTTTGAAGCCAATCAGAAACGCGTTTCCCAACAGAGACTATAGCCGTTTTGCTTAGTAAGTTAATCGCGCTCTTCCTAGTAAAATATAGACTAATAGGGAGATTTGTTCCCCACTTCAATTCCATTCTAGAGGTTCGCAAGCCTACTGTCAAAGCTACATGGTTCAGATTTGAGCTGGATACAGAGCACCAAGTGGTATTTACCTAACCACGTAAACAAGTAAACATTTGTATATGCATTTTGTGCATTTACCATGCACAGAATGCATATACAAATGCGAATATATGCAACTGCTAAACACTGAGTATGTTAGTGTGAATTCCAAAACTAGCTTCAGAAAACATGGGACCTTAACAGCACTCACATGAGCATAAGAACATTAGGGTAAAGTACAGGTGACAGTATGGGAACCTAATTCTACTATGATTTGCTCAAATGTGAAGAGAGGAAGCCACGCAATGTAAACATAAAGTAAACATAAAGATAAACAAAAAAGAAAAGCATAAAAAAATAAACAAAAACAAAAAACAAGAAAATAAAGATTGAAGTGATGTATGAGTGCGCATGCTTTCCTTGTACTGACGCTATCCTATCAATCGATTCCATGGTGATCAACCGACGACGTGACCACCCGTGGAACACGTCTGACCCTGTTGACCAGGGTCAGACAAGGAAAACAGCTACTTCCCAGAATCCGAAGGGTCACATGATTTTTGGTCCCCCCTCCTCCCATTCAAGACGTACCTACACCAACCTAGGTTCTGATTGCAGTAAAATTGCCAACATCTCCATCTAACCGAAATGGGAAGCAGGCAAGCAGAAGGCTCAAAACAATGCCACTTGTGGGTAAGATGAGAAATCGTGTTCACTGAGGAATATCTGTGAGGAGACGGTCGTTAGGAACGATTTTGGGTAATCGATTCGCCGCACGCGGTTGTAGCGAACCACTCATTCGCCGTTATTACAGCTCTAGCGTTCTTCATACAGCTCAATCAATATGAGATCATTATTTCATGCATAATTCTACTATTAGTACTTTTGTTCTTGTATTTCTTACCTACCGCCGCATCCTGCTACATTCCTTCGCGCGCGACGAACCTCTCACCGCTCACGGAAGAAATTCTGGCAAAATCGGAAATTCTACGGATGTACTCAGTAGACAAACCATTTCGTTCCTAAGGCACCACACCCATATCTGCGTGCATGTTCAAATAATATCGTGGACTAGAAAATGCTGCCATAGCTGCTTGGGACAAACTCGAGATGGAGAGCCTTATTTCGCCCTTTCGTCTGTGCTCTCTCACGGAGACAGAAAACACTGACCAGTTCTACTTCGTGGCAAACTTTCGAGGTTGTCGGTAATTGGCTCACCTTGGAGCTTTTAGGCCCATCAGGTTTAGGCATATAGGACAGAACACTTCATTTCAGTAATTTTTCTTGGACCTTTTTTGAACGGATTTGGCAGGTGCCCCAACCGTAGCTGCACTCTAGCGCAAAACGTCAGAGACGCAGAGGAAAACGGAGCACCCATTTCAAATCCCATTTTCACAGCCCACTTGTTGTGAACATATCCACATGCATCCTCCTTCGTGGTAGTGTTGAGTAGGCACTTATACAAACACCCAAACGGGATTTTGTAACAAATTTTGGTTCATAACACAATAAGCACTGAAATGTACAAATCAAAGAAGGCTTTGCAGTAGAAAAAGAGCTTGTGATTCAGTAACCCAACTAACGAGTGGAAGAAAGCGGCGAAACAAGAGAAGAAAATGCCCGTATACGATGCAATGAAGGAAGGTCTTGAGCTAGCACAGAGTGAGGTGCGTTCCAACTGGGACCCACATCCGAATTACGGTGTCTCCAAATCTTTTCATTATGTAGGATCATTGTGCCTGTGCAAAGGAAGAACGAAATAGGTCCTGTCTCCTTTTTGGTCAAAAAGTGCTCAATAGAATACGGATGGGATACAACGGTTTCACTAATTTACTGCACGGACGTTAAGTGGAACACCCCAGGACTCCTGAGGACTCCTGTTCTACTAGGGGGGTCATGAAAGTTGCCCACTACGTCACGGAAAATGGTTACAAGGGCTCATTAGGTACGAGTTATTCATGAATCTGAGAAACTAGCACAGAGTGAGGTGCGTTCCAGCCGGGACCCACATCCGGATTACGGTGTCTCTAAATCCTTTCGTTATGCACCAACTCTTTTGTATCACCAAACATTTCAAATTTTCACCTTAGACAGGGTTCTTCATTATTATGAGAAGTGAGTGTTGTTCCTCTATACAAAACCGATAAATTCGTGTCGTAAGAACGATCTGACAGTGGAAGCTTACAAGACGGCGGTGGGTACAGGAGGCGAAAAAAGCAAAAAGGTTGACTTAATGGCGAATATGTTAGTAAACTTGTTGTGAGAAAGAGTGGGTAGACGTTTGTCAAGGTAACCAGATGGTGG